GCATGAATGACTCCATTTACCCCTTTGTTGTCCAGTCATGTGAGGAGAGCAGTACAAGTAGCAGTTCTGAAGATACATCCTAAAATCACCAGGGCATGCAATCGACAATGCTATGAGCCACGAGCACCGTGGTATCAGGATCTTGCCTTGTCGAGGAGACATGGAGGAAAATCAATGCTTACAACTGCGATTTACTCCTCAAAATGTGGTAGCGAGAGGAGAGGAAACGCATCAAAAGATACCCCGCCCCTCCCTCTCAATCCATTCACTATCCACATCCACACCTATCGAATGAAGACGAATTCTCTTGTGCAGGTTGTAGAGACACCTCAGATCCCCCCTTCCCGTTTCCTCCTTAACAAGTGTGTCAAACGGTGTACAGTAGACTTGATGAAAGATTCATTTGGAGGCACCTCCCAGCCTTTACTGAATCCTGTGGCTTGTTGGTCTGCTGCACTCCCTCAGTCGCGTTTCATGACACAAGCGCTGCTTTTCTTTCCCACTTCCAAATGAAAGTGAACGTTTTGGTGAGAAGATGTTGTCTTTCTTCTTCCCACTTGTGCATGCAAAGAGCTGGATGATGGATGGGACGGCAACTTAGTGATGATTGAATATGGCAGGAAGAAGATAGAGATACTTGTGGGATCAGCAGTCAATTAATTGCCTGTGTGAAGACGATGCATTTAAGGGCAAGCGAAGGCCAAGCATCGTCCATCGAACCAATGATAAAGTGAGAGAAGTGACTGACTGAAGTGAGTGGTGGCACTGTCAGCAAGTGGTGTCAGTGAGGGGACTCTGTGTTTTATCGGCTAAACAAGTAGTCACAGGGTTGACCGAACACTTCAGGTGTCAGTACGCCCAACTGTCTGTGCTTTGCACCGCGCGATTAACAGCACACCCAAGTGGGTGTCTGAAGTTGGCACCACTGAAGACTGAGGCATGCGATGAAGTTGGCACGACTCCTCTCTACTGACAATAATCTCGTCCACTGCCCTGTCCACTGGCCATTGCTTTGTGAATATGAGGGGACTTGTCACTTAATTTGGTCATTGTGCAATGCCATCTGTAGCATCCCATCTCATCATATCACAGCACATCACACTGACTGTCAACACACTCGAGGGTGATTTCTTGTCAATTGAGTCACGACGAAGTACCAACTCGACCGTGACCATGACGAGAATAGGAATCATATCTAGGTGAGGGAGTGAATTTGATAAAACAAAGGAAATAGAAGTTGTCCTTCTGCTTCATTGTTTGATGGGGAAGCTTTACAGCACAATGCCTTGACTTGATCAAAAAGTAGCAGGATTAGATGGGACATATATTACGATGCTAACGGCGATAAAAGTTCTCGCATTTACTAATATTCCCAGATTAAGAATAGGTCCTCTTCTCATTCATGAGCTTGGAAGCAATTACTTTACCCATTAGGCTCTGCAAAAATTGTTCATTTTCTTCTCAAGAAACAAATTTTGTTACACTAAATGGCGCCGCCAGGGAATGGGGCGATGAGGGAGACGTATCGAATTTTATACCTGCGGGTGGTTGAGATGATGGTCAACTACTTATTTTGGTGATGATAACAAAGACATATTCACAGATTTTACGTGAGCGGAACTAAAACGTGACGAGAAAACAGTCACAGTCTTGTGGTGATAAAAACCTGAATGTACACGACAACTTTTTCGGTTAAATTTCGCACTGAGAGTAATTTTTAATTCTCCTAAACACGGGATAACAGATAAAGTGAGAAATTTAACTTGAACTAGGTGTAAAACACGTAAATACAAGCATATAAACGGTTAGAAGAATGCTAAAAGAATTTATCCAGGGATTTTCTCTTCTGAGACTGAAATCTAGGCTAACATCCCTTTTAGTGTGCCTACGTGTTTTACGTAGTGGAACACTAAAAAGTTAAGAATTGAATTTGGATTGAATAGTGTAACGAAACTGGTGCACAACGGTTAGAGAGATCCTCCCCATTCTTCAGATGATTAAAATCTCTGCATCACAACCGATTCAAGCAGCAGGAGAAGACTTGAAAAGAGGAGCAGTCTTGGGTCATGATTCACGTCATTGATGATGGTGATGACGATGACGACAAAACGTCGCTAGGGAAAGCGGATCAAATAAGTCTCACCCTCGTGCATTAAAATTAGATGACCATCGTTGTCACGAGCCATTAATAGACTGTCTTCACTTCTGCCACGTCGCATAAACCTGTGAATTTTGAATTTTCGATGGTTGGGCGACCATCTGATCAAGCGACAGATAGACAGACGGATGCATAGGTGAATTGAACGAAATAAAAGTCTGTTTGTGATGATGATGCAGGATCAGTAAGCGTGATGCAAGAGAACGGAAATGTTACCAGCCGAAGAGTTGAACAGCCTTAAAATGTTCATTAAGTGGAAAAGAAGGCTGGAGATTGTTTGTAAAATTTGCAGTATGTAGTATTAGATCAACGTAGAGTTTGATGAATTACCCTAAGGTTCATCAAAGTCACAAACATCCTCTATTCTTCCTGTGTGAAACAGACCTTCAAAGTGAGCGGCTATGGAACAGTTGACTTACACCTACACCATCTGGAAAACTATGATGGACTTCACACGTACATTCGCTCACACATGACGGGCAAAAAAGCCCAGACTATCAACCTGCTGCACTTCGTTTGCCTTTTCATCGCATCGAAACGCCCCTTTAAAAAAATACTTTTTGCCAAAAAAAAGTTTCGTCTGCCTTTATGTTCCAATGTTCGTTAGGCCGACGAACGTAACACACTTCTAAGCTACATACCATTCCATCCTCAAAAGACCTTGCACAAAGGCCACCCAAAAATCACGACTACGATTCATATACTCGAGACACTTTGAAGGGTTGCAAAAATTACTTCATCCTCTTCTTCACCGTCTCCTCCTATGTCTTCCTTCTCCCCTTCTTGTTCATTCTCTTGAGACAGTCTGAACGGATCAAGACCAGGACCAGATAGCTCATACCGCCAAAAATGTGACTCATGAGACACTGGTCTTATTCTGCACATTCAATCCCATATTAATATTTATGGCACAATCGTTCTACTCTTCATTTCTTTTTTTCTCAACGTACCTACCGCCATTTCTGGACACTGAAAATCCTTAATGTAATAGCATGGACAGTTGGAAAATTGCCCGCACAATCACGTTCGCTTGCGCCCCAACTTACTTCCTATACTCGTGTCAATACCTTCAACGCCAAGACGATAGATAAATTCCCACCACTGTTTCACATTGTAATCATCCTTGCGTTTTCACAAATCCATTCTCAAGTCCCGTTTCCTTTCCTTGTGGCTGAGGGTCTAGTAGGCTAAACGACCAGGGGGTTCTCAATTCGTTACAACTGTGCGGCTTCCTGTTTCTAAACCTTTAATCCCATGTGCGAAGGATTCACCACGTGAAATATTGGATCCCATACAAAGCACTGATGTCAACAGTACTTGATGGTGTGCTCCTTACGGACCTCTTCTGGCCACCACTTTCACTAAATACTACATGACAGAAAGTTGACCTTTCTATACTAGGTTAAACCCACGTACAGCAACCGAAACCGCCTCTAACTCATCAAATAACACTGGATACTGTGAGATCAGCAGACTTGTTGAATGGGATTATTTAGAAACTACGTTACAGCTTTGGCAGGTGTAACCCAGTTTCTGATGCAAAACTTCTTATAAACTGGAAAAAAAACAATCGCCTGTCCACTTCGGCCGACAAATTTTCTCAAATCATATAGTTCTCACTTAACACTCACTTCAGATATTCCATCTTGTTAGCCTCGGTGACTTTAATCTCCCTGCCTCCTGGTTTCAACTCTTCTTCCTGCAACGAATCGAACTTGTAGTAGTTGCCGCTGAAGTACAATTCCAAGTCCAGTTCGTCCACATCATTATCTCTATAGAAAGACAAAATACTACTAAGTTTCGCGGAATGGATAAAAGAAATTTAATCATATACACTGCCAGAGTCACGTATACGTGACGCCCCAGTAGTCATATCCCGTACACCTTATCAGTGGTTACACCAGAGTGTACCACAAACTGACTTGCAGAATGCAATAAAAACACTCATTAAAGATTAATAACACTTAAGCGTAACATTAGGGTGATAAAATATCCAGGTTTTGGTGTTGAATTTTTCCCTGAGGTGCTCTGTTAATAATAATGAGAGCAGACTTTTTACGTGTCATCAAGAAATAAAGGCTTTAAAAACTTTCAAAAAAAGACCAAGCCATACCGAATGAAAGCAAGGGATTGGTAAAAGTCGTGATCAACCAATTCGAGATCTTGTAGACAGGCTTTTCGATCGAGGATACGCTTGTAGAAGGCCAGAGTAAAGCCACCGTCAATACACCGACCATGAAATAGAGCCTATCAGAGGAGAAATAAGGGAAAAAGTGAATATAAGTTTAGCTGTAGGAATGTGACCTCGTTCCTCAAAATTTTTTTACGAGTGAGATGAGAATCTGATGAGAAATCGGAGCATATCTACGTTTATTCAGGCGAAATTTAACAGGAAAATGAATAGTGTTAGGCAGAGTTACGTTAGAAAATCTTTTTTACCAAAAACATCTCAATTTTTACGGGGAATTTACAATTTATACCTTTTACTTGTCCACTGAATAATCAAAAAATCGTATTGTCTTCAGTACAGTTTGTAAGAACTTGTGAGGGGTTTCCAAACGCATCCGATCGTCACATTCGCCTTATTGTGTTCTCGACCACTTTCTGCCTATTTTCAACCTAACAGCCGTCATTCGAGCTTGTCTAATTCTCGTCAAATACCTTAGAAAGTATTTGAAGAAGGTGAGCTCTGTGGCGACGAAACAATGTATTGACCGGAAAGAGTTTGATAAATCACTTAAACTCGATGACGCCCCTTATTCTTAAATAACGCCACCAAATTATGCATTGTCATCTTTCAAACATATCATTGAACTTGAGTGATGATGAAGTAACTGAACTACACCTACACCTATTAAAAGATTCATAGTGGAAGTTACTAGTCAGAGGGGTGTCACAATAAACACAGACAGTAGATTTTGAAGGCCATCGATTTGATGCTCCTTACTTCTTTTACCAGAGAGCAACACTCCGTCCTTGCGTCTCAACGTTCAGCAAGCGAACGAACATATCAGCGGTTATTCCCAAGCAATCCACGAACCACTCACTCCACACTTCTTAGGCACTACTTCATTCTCAAAATGGTAGGCCTGCTTTATCTGTGGTACACAGAGGATGGAATTATTTGTTTCCAGAAAAAAACTAAAATCTCCATATAACTCAGGGGTTGTAAGCAAAGAAACAACGTTTCCTTCTTTTTGAGAGACAGTCAGGACTAATCAGTCAGTGTCGGAAGAAAGTTGTACTATCAATCGTACAAGGCAACCTAATGCCGTATCCTGGGTACGGGGAGGTTCACACTTTAAGACAGGAGCAAGGAACCAACTGCCCCATCTTCATCCCTTACCACACTATTTCTCCATCAGAAGATCACCAGTGCAATAGATCGAGCACTTAAGAAGTAGAGCTACAATGATAGAAAGGAAAGTAGCTAGGGCCAAGCTGTCTGTTTCTAGAGGCAAACCGTATAAAAGTATAGGCATTCTAAACAGTAAGACTTTTGGTTATTCAGCACCAACGTGCAAGCTTCGATTACAACACGGGTAATGATACAAAAAAATATGCCTCATTTCTGTTCCTCTAACCTTGATTTAAAGAGAGGCGCCATCAGAACCACCGAATCGGAAAAATAATCACCAAGAAATTGCAGATTATGACAAATTACGTCCTCGTACATTACGCCTTTTCATACAGTATGCACGATGGTCGAAAGTTGCCACGGTCATTAGAGACCTTTCAGTTCGTCGTTTGAATGACTATAGACAGACCCGTCCGGAATATTAGGGACATTAGGATTGAAATGGATTAAGATCACTTGGAAAACGACCTGTATGCCGGACCATTCCTCCTAATACCTATTGTCGATGGGGACTACCACTCTTTTACAACGACATGAGAAAAGTTTTGAAAGTATTAGGGTAAATTTCCCCGAAACTAAACGGAGGTGCTTACCATTCCAATGACGCGTCCAATGAAGTGAAAATAGTCGAGATGCGCCACATTTGCAACATCAGAAGCGGGATTAATCTGTAGGGAGTAGTGTGCACCGGTATACTCGAAGAGGCCAAACATAGGATTGAAAAAGTCCCGTGAAACACGCAGAAACCACTCTCTGTAAGATAGATGAAGTTCGGAATAAGGTTTATTTATAAGTTTTTTTGGGGAAGAGGGTAAAAAGAGGTAGAGGATTAATGAAAACGCAACTTTGATGGTTGCGAAACAATCACTTGATGTCATGGTTACTGATGAAGCTGGATATGATTCTCAAATAACAGGAAGTTAGAAATAACCCCAATGAGAAGTTGGGAGCATTAAAATGACAACAAAGTAAAGAAGAGATGGGAAGTTAAGACGAAGTACTGATGAGGGAAAGTTATTCATAGGTAAAAGCTTACGCAAATTTTGCGGTAATCGTCATGGAAGGTGGAAAACGGCTGTGTATGACTGGGTCCGTAGTGTGAAACACCAAGGCTACTAATGATTAATCACGAAACTAGATCTGGCAAATATTTTTGAAAAAAGACTGGAGCGGGAAAACTTGATTAAAGCCTAAAGATTTGGGAATAATTCAGATAACGAAGATGAAATTAGGAATAGTAAGGCAGACAAGTCCCAGAGTGTCTACCGCAGTATTCGCAAGTAGTGTTCAAGTTAAAACAAGACATTCAGCAAAGCTTTATTGGGTCAGTAATCGGCATGCGTGTTAACTTCTGCAAATGTTCCTCAAGGACTGCTTTATTTCTACAGAAGGAAGTATCATAGCTTGTGCTATTTCACCATAGGTTTTGTGTTCACCCGTTGCGTGAATGATCACAAGAATGGCAGCTGAAATATGAACCGTGAGCTAACAGGCGTACGGCCGAATATCTTTGAAATGCTGACGTGTCCTTTCGCCATGTCACACTGTCCTAAAGGTCTTCTATACACCGTCACCACATGCTATTATGCGCAAGCACGCATTAACATTATTGTCTCCACCATGTTTAGCGACATCTAAACCCAAATGCACCAAACAGACCCAAATATATGTGTAGCAGTTGTCGGGAGGACGAAAGGGACATAAATGATGCCCATTACAACAACAGAAGGGTCAAGAAAATCAATTTTCTTTTGGTAGACACCACAAACAGAAATATGCAGGCAAGGCATCTGCTGCATTTACGGAGGGTTAAAATGACAATGTGAGTACTCGGAAATGTGATTGTATGTGACTGATATGCGTCAATCAGTCAGTATTATTCACCGTACCCTACTATTTTTCCTCCAACTTCGGACAAAATATCGCTTGAACTTGATGAATGTCTTAAAAATCGAGCACAGCTGCATTCCAAGGCGGCGGAAGTTTCACAAAATCTGTTTACCAGCGATTGGAGAGGATGAGATATGCGACAAAAGAACGCATCACCTAGAAGTAGTTTAAAGGTGTGATGGTGAATTGCAGACTTAATTACAAAATCCCATTCCACATTTCAAAAAAGAGCAGTACAAAGATTGGCACTTTGGGAGGAGATCACTGCAGAATATCTTCTGGTCAAAATTCAACGCTTCTCAAATAAACGGTCTCAAAACTGTCTTTAATTTCACATTTTGGCACTCTTTTAACGACCGAGAGATTCCAATTAGAAGGCACAAATTTTGAGCAGTTTTCCTCTGCTAAAGCAACAGACTGCACAGAAGGGAAACAAGAGATGGGAAGAATACTTTCGCTTCCCTAAAATTAAAAGCCCTCAAAAGAGATGCTCTGCCGAAGACGTGGATGTAGAGCATTTTATAAAAATATGCGAATATTTTTAGTTAAAAAACAAGACCATAAAAAATTAATTAATGCTAAAATAATTGCTGAAACTTGGGGATGACAGTAATAGCTTTTCTTTGTTTTTCATTAAGGCTCGGCCAGACATCTCTTTCATTTGCTAACATTAGGGAAGCTTGCGAGCCCCCCTCCCCCCCAAAAAATATCGTTTCTGTTGGGATTTTGAGAAGGTTCCATAGATTGCAAATCTCCAAACGTTCCAGAGAGTCGACCTCTCGCTCAGTACCTCCTGATCGGCTCATATCAAGCAGAGATGTGGTGTAAGGGTACTGATAACCACTCGAAGGGCAAATGTCAAGGTCAATCAATTAATCTAAGTGGGCGTAACTGAAGTAATCGAGACACACAAACTCTATGGCTGCCAAACACGTACCTACCAAGCGTGCCCCGTTTGCTTGCTCACTACATCGGTAGGTCAAATGCACTGGAAGTCTTGATCTATGGAAGACCTGGTTGGTGGAATCGATAGGATTCTGAAGACTCACACACAATTGTCGATGGACCTTATAACAGTTTATCTTGGCAGCTAAAGCTTATACCAGGGAACTGTAGTGAGGAGATGTAAGACAGCTAAATTAAGCAAATGCAATGGTTTACCCAAAGACATAATTGCAAATTTCACTTTACCAGAGGATAAGGACAAGAGAGGACCTTCCATCCTCGCTCCCCGAGGAAAATCTACCAAAGGATAACTTTTGTTGTGATATAAAGTCTTGCGATGACATGCAAGAGTAGCGCTGCCTTTTAAGTGATTTCTTAGTTCTGACTGATTCTCAAGG